TTTTTTTTTTTTTTTTTAGCTCTCTTTAACGTGTGCTAACTACGAGCTGGAATTGCAAAGCTTGACAGTCATGTGCAAGCCACATATTTTTCTGCTTATGTGCCTAGAGTCTGTGCAGTCCAAAACTCAGCTCCTTATCTTGGGCATCTGCTGAATTAGCAGGGAGCCTGGCTGTTTTGTCCAATGGGTTTCCCCATTAAAAAAAAAAAAGAAGGATCTGATTCAGCACAGCTCTCAGGCACGTGCTAAAGCCCATCTCTGTCCGCCAAAGAATTTCAGCGTGGAAGTTTTTGGCTATAAACAACTCCTTGTGTTTAATGTAAGACCTGAGGATCTAATTTAAGTGCTTTCATAGACTCATCATAGAAAATGAGGGTTGGAGGGTACCTCCAGAGGTCATCTACTCCAGTGGTTGTACCAGAGCCCCTTTCAACCCACTCCTGACCTGCTGCCCCCACCCCAGCCCCCCAGTGTGTGGGGCAAAAGCAGGGGGTATGTGGGTCATGGGGGCCCGGCAGCCCCAAGCACCTTCCAGCCTGCAAGGGAAAACCCACAGCGTCCCCCACTTTTCTCCTTTAAAGGAAAATCCATTTTTAAAGTGTGTTTGCCCCTTTCGTATATTCTTGGGACCCACGCAGGGGTGGAGAAGCCCCGCTGTAGCCCAGCCCCTGCTCCAAGCAAGACCATCCTCAACTAGCTCATTCCAGCAAGGCTTTGCGTCTCCAAGGATGCTTTGCTGAATCAGCTGGAACTTTTTACCTGTGTGTTTTTGTTTTATTTAAATCTTCTTCCCCGCATCCCCCCCCCCCGCCTCTTTTTTAATTGCCTTACTGTCTATGGTAAGGGTGAGGATTTCGGAGGCAGTCAATGCCAGGCAGCGTTTGCTTGCGCTCCCCCCAGCCCTGGCACACCCAAGGGGGTGACAGGCACGAAGTTCAGGTAGGTTTGGGGGGGGGTGTCAAATCCTGGCTGCTGCTGCGTTTGCAGCATGAGGCCGGGAGCCCGGAGGGCAGCTCGGAGCGGGAGGGGGGGGCGGTTTCGCTCCGTGCCACTTGGAGGCGTTTTGCGAGCCGAGCGGGGAGGCAGGGGGAGCCCGGGGCTGCGCGGAGCCGCCGGGATTGGCAGGGGAGAGGAGCGGTCCAGGAAATGGCTCGAGTTTCAAGCGGGGGGGAGTGACCAGGGGAGGGAGAGGCGGCTGCGGGGAGACAAGCGGGTTGCAGAGTTGACAAAGCTTCGGAGCTTGCAGCAGGGATCGCGGCTCTGCCTCCGAGGGACCCTGCCCCGCGCGCCTGCCCCCCGCGCCGCTGCCGGCTCAGGCGAGGGGAGGCGGCCGCAGCCCCG